TCTCTCTCTCTCTCTCTCTCTCTTACACACACAGAGAGATTAATACATAGGTAGATAGATAGGTAGACAGACAGATAGATAAACAGAAAGGCATGCACATGCTTATGGTTCTACTTCTCTGGCTGATAACTTGATTTCTCAACTGTTTGGACATGAATGGTGTTGGACATAAATGGTGTTGATGAATACATGGAGAATGAGGACTCAGAGTGGTTTGGAGAGTGAGAGGCAACAGCAGGGCAGTCCCCGAGCCTGATGACCTGAATCTAGAAAGAATAAGTGACATGTATTTAAACAACTCATAATCCTTTCTGGGGAGCCACACCAAAGCACGAACTCCAGCCTCCTGTCATGTAGACACTTCTACAGCACCAATGCTTTGGGGGTGAGAGGGGCCTCAGGAGCTTCTGTTCCCACCAATCCCACCACTGTTCATAGCCTAGGGAGCCAAACTCTTAGCATCATGGCTCTTTCCTCTCCCTCTTTAGTTCTCCTCGAACCCAGGGACTGGATCTCCTTCTTGCAGATTGAGTCTGACTAAGACTTATCACTCTGGTATTTCACACTTGAAGAACTAGGTTGGCAAAGGGTAAAGTTCAAGTTCAAGAATTCATGCTGATAAACAGCAAGATGGAGTCTTTTTTAAAAATTATTTTTAACCTTTAATGTGTATTTTTATTTCTTATGTGTATTGGGTATTTTGCTTGCATGCAAGTCTGTGTACCATGTGCATACTGTGCTCTTAGAGACCAGAAAAGCATGTCAGATGCCCTGGAACTAGCATTCCAGATGATTGTGAGCTGCCATGGTGGTGTTGGGTCCTCTGAAAGAACAGCCAATGCTCTTAACCACTGAACCATCTCCCCAGCTCTCAAGAGATGGAATATTAAACCCAGACATTTAGGACTGTTTTTAACTTTGAGTTATTTCTAGTAAATTGGTCTTAGCCTTGACTGGATCCCACCCTTGAGGTTCGATGGAATTGGCTTGAGGTGTGGCTGAGGTAGCTGAATGTATGCATCCATGGTTGACAAACCACCAAGCTATATACCACTGTTAAACTGTGGGGTGATATGCAAAACTGTTATTTGTTTCAAGGGTGGGGTTAAAGCAAATTAGGTTATAGGAAAGATCTAAGTATTATAGGTGTACTCACTGCTTTCCTCGTTGTTTTGACCAAATGCTTGAAAAGAAGATGTGCAAGGAAGGGTTTATTTGGCTTACAGTCTTTTGTTTTGTTTTGTTTTTCGAGACAGGGTTTCTCTGTGTAGCTTTGCGCCTTTCCTGGAACTCACTTTGTAGACCAGGCTGGCCTCAAACTCACAGAGATCCGCCTGCCTCTGCCTCCCGAGTGCTGGGATTAAAGG